CCCCAAAACCCCAAAACCCCAAAACCCCAAAACCCCGACTGAGTGTGACTGGGTTGGGATTTAGTGAATGAATAAAAATATTTTATATGGTGGGTCTAAGGGAGACATCTGACGATACCTCATTGGGCAAGGACGTGTTTGGTGATGGATGGGATATCGAGGCCGTCGTTTGTGTCGTTCTCTTCAAGACTTGAGTCGAGAAGTTTTCTGGAGACGCTGACTTTACTGACCCTACTAGGCTGCCTCTCTCTGTTAAATATCTCACTAGGATGTTTCTTGAAAACCTTATGATGTAATGAAGCTTTTGAAAGAGGGAGATTTGCTCTCTGAATTGTATTTGAAGAAGTGACTCCTCCTCTTTGAAGTCCATAATCAGAGATATCAGACTTCGAGATGTTTATATTCAGATCTTTCAATTGAGATCTAGAATTGGTTGATTCCTGGTCTTTAGAATTAAATCCAACCTTTTTCATTACACTGCTAGGCTTTGCTTCAATTGTAATGCTGGAGTTGTTTTCATAAAAATTCAAAGAGTTCATTTTATCCCTTCTCATGTCTATACTTCTGGCATGCATCTTATAAGAAGGAGAGCCTGACACTGATTTCTTAAGAGATTCAAACCTTGACCTAAGTCGAGGGTTCTCCTTTATATCCTGTATCTCTTTGTCATAAGTAATTAGTGTAGTAGCTCCTTTAAAATGAGTTTTGTCATGTAATTCAGGAAGGATATCTCTGCCAGACCTCAGTTTCTTAGAATTCACTTCTGAAAAGTTCTCAAAATTAGCCTTCATTGAATTTTCTTTAGCTTGGTCATACCTAAAGTTTCATCCATGTACTCTTACACTCTTTGGAGTGAGTTTTTTCTGCTGAAATTAGTGTTAAAATCGCCTGCTATTTCCTTGGATTTCTCTCTGGGCCTCAGGTTAAAAGCGTTACAGTCGCCTGGTTCTGTTATAAAATCTGTGTAGTCTACACTGGTGAAAGTTCTCTTATGTTCTAAAGGCATTAAATGGGAAAATATACTCTTATTTGTTAGTGTCAATATTTGTGTATGAAGACTCTGGAATCTCCCTGGTTGGCTGGTTAACGACCTTAGGCTTCTTAGCCATTTTCTCCATAAAATCAAGCACTCGATTTCTACAATAGGTGAGGAATTAGGGTACCTGTATCTGTTGGCGAGAAGATCTCTCTTTTGGATTTGGCGGAGGTTAAGAGAGTACTTCTCTTTTTCCTTCTTTTTCTTGTTATTTCGTTCCATAATGTACAAATTGAACATTTTCAAAGAGAGATTAGGAATTTATTTATTTTTATTGTTTCAATTTTGGAATAGTTTATGGGGTTTTGGGGTTTTGGGGTTTTGGGGTTTTTGGGGTTTTGGGG